TGGGAATTTTTTTTAAAATATTAATGTTTAATTTTTTATATTTTTTTATTTGTTTTATTATTTTATATAAAAATAATTTAACAATTCCTACACTGACAACTATCATCAAAACAAACACAATTTTACTTAATCCCCTCACTATCAATCCCCTCAGTATTTTAGTGTCAATCTATAAAACCCTCACTAACGTCCAGAATTGCAACAACTATAGAGGAATCAAGCTAATGTGTCATATAATGAAAGTGTACGAGAGGGTGATGGAACACCGATTGCAAGATATAACAGAGGTGTCAGAGAATCAATTTTGGTTTATGCCTGACTCGTAAGTTAAGAGGATATGGATGTAGAACCACACCAAGGCAAATTAGGGATTAAGTTATTATCTTTCCCAACTGTGTAGCTTAGTATGTGTTCAATCTGTAAACTTTGTAGGGTTGGCGACTAGGGATGCGCTCTAGCTCTACTGTAGCCCAGAACTCTGTGAGTAACAACTGTGTAAAGATATGTTCAAAATGATTATCTTCTGAACAATTGAACTGTACGGCTTTCTGAACTGATACTGTTAATTGAATGAATGTATGTCCTATATTCTGAACTGTATTGTGGCATCCTTAGCAACTACTGTGTCGCATACATCCCATTTTTCATGTCTCTACCATGAAGTTAAAGTTGGGAGCAAATGTTACTTCAAACCCCTGCTTACCTTCTCTTGCTAATGTTTCTAAATGGATGCCTACGAAAATTTTAGATCGCGGCATCTTCAAGAAGAACAATCAAGCTGTCACGCATTGGCTCATTCAGTGGAAGGGTCATTCTATTAATGAAGCTACTTGGGAAGACCATGCTGATTTTTGTGCTCATTATCCAGATTTTCCAGCTTGAGGACAAGCTGTGATTCTAAGGCAGTCGAATGTTAGGAAACCTAATATATTAGGAAGCCTACTTCTTTTCAATTACTATCTCATCAATTTACTATCTAATCAATTTAGGAAGTCTATGTTATTTTATTTTTCTTATATAAGGATGCTTATTGTAATGGTTTTGAGCAGGAGATTTAATAATATTAAGAGTTTAAGTGGCTAACCCCCAATTCAAAGGATTGTTGGTGGCTAATCTCCAATCAAAGGATCTACTTAGGGTCTAGGGCCCTATCAGAGATGGAAGATGAAGGCTTGGATGCGGGAGGCGACAACAATGGCAAGACGACAACAGCGAATCTGAAGAAGAGAGAGAGAGAAGAGGGGAAGGGCTTGGTTTATTTGGTCTGTGCGTGTATACCATATATATATGCATGGGTTTTTTTGGGTCATTTTTCTTAATCATGTCCTTATGAACAAAAAAGTTTAGTGCATGGACCTTTGATCAGAGGAAATTCAAATTTGGACTTTTCGCCGAAGCGTCCTATAAATATGTATATGCATAAATAATTAAACTAAAATTGTCACATATATTTATTAAGATATATTTTATGGAGTGATAAAACTAAGATTATTCTTCTATATCGTATACTTAGCAATATATATATATATATATATAATTTCATTTATCAGTAGATATAGGCAAACACAAATAATTTAACAAAAAATATTACATATGTTTATTTAAATAAAATGTTGAAAATAATTTTATATTTATATATAAATATACATATAAATTAATTAATTAATTAAAATTTATAAAATATTATTTATAAAAAAATATAATTTAATTCGTACGTATAACCACTAATTTTTCAATTTGACCCTTAACGTTTGTTTTTGCTCCTTTGGTCCTTCATGTTTTAAGTTTTTTTAGTTCATTTCTAAAATTAATTTGTATTAAAAATTAGACAAAAAATGATACATTGATAGTCACGTGATATAAAAATATTTTATTATATGTAATTCACATTTTTGACATAAACTTAAAATTTAATATAATAATATAATTTTTTTATCTTGTGTGGCAGTTATTATGACATTTGTTTGTTTAATTTTGAATAGAAATTAGTTTTAGAAATAAATTAAAAAAAATTTAAAACATAAAGAGTCAATGTGAGACAAAATAAACTTTAGAGATCAAAATATGAAAGTGACCAAATTTAAAGGGGACAAAATGTAATTTGCCAATTATAAAAATACAAGAACAACCAAGCCCTAGTTGTTCCTTCTTGTCTACCTCCCACTGTCTCACACCTGTCCACGGCTCTCTCTCTCTCTCTCTCTCTCTCTCTCTCTCACTCAGTATCATTCCGTTCTATGCCCATTGTATTGAGCTCTCGTTTGGCATAAGGCTTTTTTTAAGTTGGGAGCTAATTTAGCTACAAAAAGATAAAATACGATAAAAAGTAAACCATAAAAGTAAAAAAAAAAAAAACAAAACAAAACAAAAAGCCAAACCCAAATAAACTTTTTAGCTTCAAGTTAAAAAAGTCAAAAAACCAACTCACTTTCCAAATGAACCCTGAATCTGAATATATGTGTCTGTAATTAAATAATTAAATAATTTTTTTGTATTCCTCCAATGTCGAAACTGAGTTATTTGCAAAACTCTAAGCTTATACATGTCTATCGTCCTCAAGAAGACGCCATTTATTTAAACCAAAGTTGTTAATCACGTACCAAACAAAATATCATTTTTCAATTGGTACGGTATTTACTAGTATCAATATGTTACTAAGTACTGTTTCAGAGTTATTGCAAAAATATTGTATATGTATTGAAATATTATCTAGTAGCAAATAATTCAAGTATACAATATTATGAAGCACAAATTTATTTGTAGAAGAAGCTTAAAACATACCATGTCTGCTACATAATTGTTGGGAAGTTCAAATCTGTAGTGACAAGGATGATTCTTAACATATTTGCTTTGTTATATGTATATATATATTGTATTAAAATACTATAAAATGCTATTATTTAACTACATATATTCATTTTTAATAAAATTCATAATTTTAGATTTGTCTTTTCGAGATCTTTAAATCGTTGCTTATATTGAATATATAAAATTCTAAAAAAAAAAAAATTAATAAATAGACGAATGACAAAGCAACATGTAGAATTATTTTTGAAGCAAGTGAGGGGGGAGGGGGAAAACCCACGATAAGGCCGCTATGCATTTGGTAGCATTCAAACTATGGTCCATACAATAAAATTAGAATTTTTCTCACTACGTAGACTGAAAAACATGATTTTTTGGCCTTGTGTTTGATGATTTATGTAAAAAAAAAAAGAGTATAAATTGATAACCAATATATATATATATATATATTGTTGAGAAAATAAGCACGTGAAATAATCTACAAATGGATAGATCTCGAAAAAAAAAAAAATAAATTCAAATATATATATATATATATTTTTTGTTGAGAAAATAAGCACGTGAAATAATCTACAAATGGATAGATCTCGAAAAAAAATAAAAATAAATTCAAAATGAACTACCAAATGCAACGTTGGTTGTTGGGTTAGTGGGCTGGTGATTTCGTTCCCATTATGGGGTAGGTCATTGTAGTTTTTTCACTTCATTTTATTTTCAATAACATTTGTCTTTGAACAATAATATGAGATTCTAAATAGCATTATATCACAAGTTATATATCCGCATCTTTTATAAAATATAACTATGGTGGTTATAATATTATATTTTGTGTCATTTAGGTCATCAAAAATTTAATTTTGTAAATTTTATTTGTAAATTTTTTAATTTGAGTCTAATTAGTTTAATTTCAAATGACTCTAAATCATTAATAATATATATATATTGTCCTAAAGGATGCGTTTTGTGTCACTATGTGGTTCTTAGAGTTTTCAGTCTTACCAATTTCATCACTAGAACGTTGTAAGTTATGCTTCATCTTCTTTAATTATCATAGGTCATTTGTAGATTTTACGTTGAATCTTTATTTGAGGTGCCACATGGATAGTTCTGATTTGACAAGGTGTAGTTGGATCATACCTGTATCAAAGATAATCGGATGAGCACAAGAGTCTTAGATCATGACAGACTCTCTGTTTGAATAAGTGAGGACTCTTGAGAGAGTTAATCATAATCTAAATTGGATGAGTTCAAGATAAGTGTTATCCCAAAAAGGGATAGAATCTTATAAGTTCAAGATAAGCGTTATCTAATTATTTTTTTTTTGTTTGATTTAAAAAAGCTAATAATTTCTAACCAAGCTTTTCTCCTTAAATTTTTTTAATTGAGGACAACGTAAAAAATAATTTATACATTATTTTATAATTTAGTGTCTTTTAATAATTTATTTATTTTTTACTTTTTAAATATGCATACAACTAAAAAGTAAAATATTTATAAAAAATATAATATATATCAAATGTATTAAATTTTATATTTTTTTGAATTTAGTATTTTTTAAAAAATTAAAAAACTATAGAAGTATATATAAATTATTTGAATTTAAAAAATAAAAAATTATTTAAAATATTTAAAAGGAAAATGTTTGAAGGCCCGAAATGCCTGGCTCGAATGCCCCGAATGCCCAAAACGACGTCATTTTGGGCATTTCGTTTTTTTTTTTTTTTCTTTTTTTCCGCCATTTTCGACCTCTGCAATGCAGAGGAAAAGGGAGAGAGAGGGAGAGAAAGAGAGAAAGAGGTCGTGTCGCCTGCGCCTCCCGCCGCCGATCGCGTCGGCCACCGCCGATCGCGTCTGCCTCGCCTCAGCCCCTCCTCCTCCATTTTTTAGGCCCCCTCCAGTCCTTCCTCCCCTAATGTAATACTATATTCTAAGGTATAGAACAACAAGCAAACTTAAGTAAAAAAGAATTTTTAGAATCTTATAAAACATGATTTAATAGCGGTACGGGTCGGTACGGTTTGGAAGAAAAATAGAAACCGACGAATTGATAAAAGTGTTACTAGAATTTACCATTTTTCTTACCAAAAACCGACGATTCAATTGACAAATAATAACGAATTTACCTTAGCGGTGCGGTTCGGTGCGATTTCGACGGTTTCCACGGTTTTGACGGTATTATGCACACCCTAGCTCCAAACCCTCTCATTCTCTCCCTCTCGCTTTCTGCGTGCGAGCTCTCGACTTCTCTTCAAGCATTGCCTTGATCGATCGCGCGACTTCTCATGGCCTCACAATGTATGTCATTCACTTTCTCTCCCAATCGATCAATTTTTCTGTCTCTCGATCATTTTTTCCCAAAAGCTTCGAATTCATCAATTTATTTGAAGTTAGGGTTCAGTGAGAGCCATGGAAATGTAGACTACGAAGCCAAATGCATTCTCAATCAATTGATCTCAAACCCGAACTGATCTCTACACACTCCTCTGTATCGAACGATTCGACCTCTCTGCAATCTCCTCTCTGGTCGCGAACTTGAACCAGTTGAAGCAATTCATCGATGATTGCAAGTCTAATCCCTCAATTCTCTCCGATCTTTCTCTCTCCTTCTTCCGAGACTACCTTGAAAGGTATGATATAATTCGCTTTCATGTAGCTTGATTCAGAATTTTGATATTTTGTAACATGTATTATCTTATTAATGCTGAATTTTGCAGATGGGAGACTTGTCTATGGAGGTCATGGAAGAAAACCGTGATGCTTCGCAGGAGGCTAAGGTGCTGGGTATGGAAGCAATTTCTGAAAGCATTCTAATTTCATTACATGTACATACACACGCGTGGATATATTGTAAACACATTTTTTCATAATTTGATTTTGATGGTTTTGGGTTGATTAGGGAAACTGGAGGAAGCAATAGAGCAGCTCACACAGGCTATTTTGCTCAATCCAACCTCAGCAATTATGTATTCAGGTTCTCTCATCGCGATCGCTTCGGCCGAAGTCTTCTTCGAAGAACTTTATCACGGTACCTTCTCTCTCTCTCTCTCTCTCTCTCTCTAGCTCTTATTTTCTGATTCTTACTTGTTGATTTTCGCTTGCATTTTGAGATTCCTATGATTTTTTGGTGGTTTAGTGGAGTGAATTGATGTTGAATTTGATATTCCTCGCCGAGATTCCTATGATTTTTCAATTCAATTTTTAATTTGTTATTAAATTGTTTAATTTGTTCCGGTGAGCCTTATTGTGTTGATGTTTACATTCTTTATCCTTTTTAGTTATTTAATTCTGTGTATTTACACTTACTTTTCTACTGATGCAGTGATGCACAAGAAAGAGTAGCATTACTTCTGATATCCATTGTCAGCATTAAGTGGATGACCATAATTCTCTCTCACTCTCTTTTTTCTTTGATATCATTTGACGTTCTCAGTTCATTTTTCCTTGTGTTGGCTTTGGTTAATGCTACTACTGAATTTTCATCACTTGTATTCATTTCTGGCATTGAGACAAGGAGACCAATTCAACTAATTATAGTCCTCATTTTTTTGTTAGAGAGGATGTTTTATTGCTTCACTGCGGATAAGGAATCAGAATGTGATGAATTATGTATTAGTTGAATCCCATCTCTCCTTTCCAGTCCATCGGGAATCATGGTTTCTGCTAAACCCCAAATCCTCTTGATGTTAAGCCTTTTGTCATTTCCATATATCTCTCCGACACTAACCCAATCATTTCTCTACCCGTTATAGTTCCATAATTATTGTCCTTGACTTTAATGTATCTACTTGAACACCATTATCTCCTCCCCTGTAACCTACTAAAATGTTTATTGTATCTTAAGTTTGACTTGATAGTGTGGATTTTTTATGTGTGTCTTAGATAATGCAAGTTTGAGGTGAACTTTGTTTTTGGTTGATTGCATTCTGCAATAAGAAACTCATGAATTTTGATTTATTGCATTGAATTTCTGACCAGTTTCTTGCTTTATATTTACTTGCTAGAATTCATGAAGTGAAGTTTGTTCTTGAAAAAGAAAATTTAATGCTAGTCTATTTCTTTGGATTGTGCTTATGTGAAGAGGAGAAGGAAGAAAACTCGTTTTAGTTATTTCTATTAGCAATGGTATCAATGATAGGCTTTGTAAACTATTCTTAATATAGGCTTTGACGTTATTTAAAGGTCTAATATATAAGTCACCACCATATAGTGAAGAAAACTCTGCATTCTGCAAGTTTCTGATACTATTGTGTTTCAGCGTTGTTAATTATGATTTGTTTGGAAATATTGGAGAATACTGCTTATAGATTGTGGAACTGTTTTCATTTGGGAGGCTTGGTGCTTGTATTAATTGATTGGCAATGATTTCATGGGAACCTGTTATGTTCTGACGTCTTAATGGCTCCGAGGATTATCGAAATATGATATGATTGTTTGTTAGTAGTACTAACAGAAGATGGAACTTAGACCTGAATTCAGCATTATATAAATTGGCTAGTTGGTGAATAAATGTTTCCATGAAACTGAATTCACCGTTAAATTTAAAAATATCTACTTGAATAAATGTTTATTGTCTTGAATGACAAGTGCAAGTTACAGGAAGATTTATTCAAGTATCTACTTGAACTTGATTCGACTGATTATTGTGAGCCGAATAATTAAAGTGTTGTATCATTATAGGAAGATTGTTTCCCACAAGGCACAAACAGGAGAGGTAAGAGGGGAAGGGAGCATGGTTCCCTCCTCCTTCCACCCACTTTTGAGGGTAAAGCATATGGTAAACTCAAACAGAAAGATCCTTGCCCCTCTTTTCCTTTCCCCTCAGCTTTCCTTATAGGCCCTCCTCCCTTTCCCCCTTCCTTCCATCCAAATAATGAAATCTTTCCTTTCCCTCACTCTTCCCTCCTACCAGATGGACCCTTAAAGTGAATACTCAAACCTTTAGCACATGCAACATCAGAGACATTTAGATAGAATTGCAACTTTTTTTTCCCTTTTTCTTTTTGGGTACTGTTAGGCATTATTAAATGTAAATTCTAGATGTGATGCACCACACATACAATTCTATAAGCTGATTTTTCTTCTCTTAACTGAGTACAAGTAAGCTCTCTCTCTCTCTCCCTTGTGCTGGTGCTGGTGGTTGGGAGGACTATATTTTTATTTTATTTAATGAAGCGGTATTCAATATCGTATCATATGGTATTAGACACATCAATAGTGAGCTTATAGTTATAGCCTTATACGCAGACCCAGTACTAAATGAACACTGCAAATGAGTGAAGATGAGCAGTGGTTAAAGCACAATGATGTACAAAAGAAAAGTATAATTAACAATTGAACTTTTATCTAATTATGAATTAAATAGTATAACAAACTCATGCCTTTCACTTTATATGAAAATAACAGTACACAGGAAGCACCAAAAAAACACTATAGGTGAAGCATTTAAAAATTCAAAAGTAGCAAATTGTCATCATACTCATTGGTACAGTACATCAACTAATAATATTCTTAGGTCATGTTTGATTCACAAGATTAATAGTAAAGTATTAATAATCCGATTGAATTAGTGTGGTATTCACTATCCAATTGGATTAATATCCATTGGATTAATAATCCCGCCCCTACACCATTACTAATAATCCTACAAATTTGTTGGATTAATTATCCATTAGATTAATAATCCTAAACCAAAATATTAAAACAAATATAGGATAATTGGGTCCATGGATTAATAATCCTAATCCCATACTCTAATCCACCCAATCAAACATGCCCTTACAGTATAAAAAAAAAATCTGAGTCACCAAAGGAAAACAGTAACTGAAAAATATAAGGACAACAAACATAAGTGCCCCATTGTGAAAATCTCCATAACATACATACCAATTTTCAATGAAGGCATTAAAGCCTCTAATTGAGTACACTCTTAGCAATACTGATCTACAATTGTTTCTCACTCTAAGCAGCTTCATCAGTTGTCAAGGAGTCTACATCTGCGAAAAGAAGGATTCAATAAAAAGAGAACAAGAAGCAGCAGAAAATGAAGTAACTTATCATTAATTAGGAAACAGGAATCACCCACCATTTGATTCCAGTGACAGGGCACAATGTCATCATGTTGAAGATTTTACTTTAATTTTCTGTGGTCTTTGTGCAGGACCAGATAGATGAGTCCTAAACATCTTTCAAGCTGACCAGTCATTATCTTCACCCGGAGGAGGTGGGATTTGAATGTCATTTGTTTGTGCTGACTAATTATGTGTTGATTGTGAATGGTTCCATGAAACTGATGTTCAATACTCCAACTTAAACTTGCTTTAAATTTTTTGAGTGATTTGCAATGCTCTGCTGAAAGTATTGGTTCCTATATTTGCAGTATTGTTGCATTTGATTCCAGTTCAAAATTACTAACCCTTTTTTCCCATAAATGAAAATCAAGGGTCATAAAAAAAATGGAGTGATATTTAGATCTGAAATGTCTTTTGTAACTGCATTATAACTTTCTCAAAAAAATAAAAAAGAAGAAAAAGATCTGATATTGTTTTGATCTGACATGTCTAACAGGTTTGTACAGTTATGGAGAACTATAGATGAAAGCAATGATTTGTTATTGTTTTGATCTTTAAATTTCAATTGCTTAGTGCGTGAATGTGATACAATTGGTAATTTTCTTCTTTATGTAGCAACAGTTGTACACAAGTACTATAATTAGTTCTATGATTTAGCTGAAGCATTATATGATTTTAGTTTATGAGCTTATTTCAAATCATATATTATGCATGAATAGTGCAGACTTTGAGGTGAAAGATTTTTATTTATGTTGCATCTTTGAGTTACTTTACCACAGGTCCATGTTTGAGGACATGGCCACCAATTGTTTGGTTAAACTTCTGAATGCCTATTATCTTGTCAAACTATCCTATTAAACAGCGCTGGGTCAACACTCTTGGGGGCATAAACGAAAAGCTACTATCAAAGATAAAGGTGGAAACAAAAGAACTTATACAATGGAGGTTGAGGAAGAGGAGGAGAGAGATGATGATGAACTGGTAAGACTTGTGTTACCTATCTGAAATGCACTAATCTGTGAGTATTTTATTATCCTTACATAAGTTTCTGTGGCATGTTCTGTTATTAGATTAAGTTTTTTAACTCCATGCTTGCCTTTTGGAGTCAAGATTGCCCTTCAAAATATCCACCAAATGCACTGTACATAGATGGAGTTAAAACCGAAATGTGTTAAATAGGTTTATTGATAAATACTAATAAATCTGGTGATTGTTTTGGTTGATTTTTGTTGGATGGATATTGGTATTAGCTCTTTGCCTTTCCAAGGATATCCACCACTTTATACATCACCATGAAATCAAATTGCTTTCTCATAGTGTAAACTAACCTCCATCTCTTTGTATTCCGCTTGCATATGTTGTTTAGGATACTGTTGAGATAGCCTCTGTTATCCATGCTATCCACGGTAGTTAATTTCTACTAGTTAATTTACATGTTCAATGCAATTATTGGTTGCTTCTTCATGTGGCTGTACTAATTATTTTAATAATTATTTAATGATCATAATGAATATAAAAAATCATAAATCACTCTATTGCAATAATTAAAGATTTCCAATATGCTGCCAGATTTCATGATCTCAACAAAATAGGAGTCCCTGTTTGGCTTGGGCTTAAAAAGCTGTTTTTTTTTTTTTTACTAAATAAGCCAAAAAGCAAAAACACGGAACTCCACCCAAGTGTGGAAATGTTCAAATGTGTTTGGGTTAGTTCAGGTATTTGCTGATAGTGCATTAGTGGAGCTGGCATTGTTGTCTAACTGGCCTTAATGATTTTCTCATGAGTAATGATGATTGTTTCATTGTTTGTTTCCTTTTATATATATATTTTTTCTACATTTCTTGGTGATATATGCCCATATTTATATTATTTCTCTGGTTTTACTTGTTGAGGTTGGCTCTTTATCAACCTTGGGGTCAATGTCAGCATAGAATTGGGTCATAGGATATCAGTCCCAATCTTCTTGAAATCTTCAGTGAATCACTGATTGCTTTTTATGGGTAGGTCTTTGCTCTTCAATCTTCTTGTCATTCTCTCTCTCAGATCTCTCCCTCTCTCTGTTTTTCCATTCATTTTAACTCGGATTGCCCCTTTGATGGTTCAAAATGATTCATCTCTCTCTATATAACAATATACAATCCATCTCTTTTAGGTATTTTTTTTTTTTCCTGATTAATGGTCTGTTTGCTTTCGAATTGCCATAGTTCTCTCTCTCTCTATTGCTTGTATGACATGTAACAGTGTGCTGTGCGATTTGCAGGATCTGCTACTATTCTTTGCCTTGATCCTGACTCAATCCATCACCTTTTGAGGTATGTATATATATATATATGTTGTTGAAGCTATTGATTTTTTGTTTGTTTATTGAGTTTTTTTTTGTTTTTTGGCGATATCTTTTATTCTGGAATAGGATTGCTGGATTGGGAGTGGGAGTCTTCCTTCTTCTAGCTCGTAGAATCAGCGTGTCAAAGGTTGATTCTTGGAATGTAGTTTTGGTTGTAAAACAAAAGCCACTTTTTTTTTTTTTTTTTTTTTTAAGAATCTGATGCATCTATCTGCTTTTCTTTTCTTTTGTACTCTTTTTGTTTTCCATTCAAATTTTTTGGAACAATGCATGTTTTCTTTGAAGGATGCAACTTTTTATTTTACTCAGTCTTGTGATCTGTAAGTTTTTGAATCATGTAAAATACCAATGATATATTCTTTGATTTGTTTCTGTTCTTTTATTTATGCAGGTTGTGTTTTTTTTTTCCCTCCCCAAGAAATTAGTAGGTGGAGTTGTATATTTAAAGTCATATTTTGGAAATTAGTGAATCATATGATTTGGATACTTTTCTTGGTTTGTACGGTTGTGAGGTAGTTATTAGCTTGATATGATAGAAGTTGAGGATGGAAGCTAGTATGCAGGTTGTTTGTGTTAGCATATTATATTAAGTGATAGCATTTTGTATTCGCCGAAAGGCACACTAGGGTCTGTCTGTAATCACTGTAATCAGCACTCAGGGATAGCACTCAGGGATCATCTTGTAAATTGCATTTCTTGGAGGATGGAAGCTAGTATGCAGGTTGTTTGGTGTGTGGATGTTAGTTTTTTTCCTTAATTCATAGTTGCTGCTTCTGTTTGATTTGTTCACAAGTTGCCGCACTTTATAAGCTACTGCGTTTGTTTGGAGGTACATAGGCTAGGCAAGGTTATGTTCTTGTGTGTAATATATATATATATATATATTAAAAATAATTTTTTACGGCATGTAAAATTATGTCGTGAAAAGTGTAATGATTTATGGCATGTAAGAAAATGTCGTAAAATATTATATACGACATACAAAGTATGTCATAAATATATTAAGAACAACTTTTTATGACAAAAAAAATTATGTTGTGAAAAGTGTAACGATTTATGGCATGCAAAAAAATGTCGTAAAAGATTATATCCAGCATACAAAGTATGTTATAAATATCTTAAAAACAATTTTTTACGACATGTAAAATTATGTTATGAAAAATATAATAATTTATGGCATGTAAAAATGTTGTAAAAAATTATATATGACATACAAAGTATGTTATTGATGTTTAATTTATTACTTTTTACAACTTTATCTGCATTCCGTAAATGACGATCAATTTTTCACGGCATGTCATATAATTACATTTGTGTGCATGTTGTGAAAGAGTTTTTACGACATGTATTGCAAGCTGTGAAAATTCAATTTTATTGTAGTGTACTAGTCCGCTTATTCAATACCTTGCATAGTTTGTTAAGGCTATGAATCCAGTGGTCCATTTTGTAAATAAACATGATAATTGTGATTCTCACTTCACTATTAGTCCAATCCAAACTCTCATCTCTTAAAACAAACAAGGCCAAAAAATTATAGTATTGATTCATCGAAATAAAGTTTGTGACGGGCTCATGAGACCGGATTACAAGTATTCAATCCAGATAGTGGACTGGTGATAAGTTAAACCTGTCCAAAAGGTTGTTATTAGACTTGACAAGCATACAAAAATATACATTAAAATGTGTTAAAAAATATATATTAATATGTAAATAAGTAGGACTAATAAAATAGAGAAAACTTCCAAAAATTGACAAGGTTGAGTTTGAATTTTATTAATAAAAGGTTTTTTTGGCCCAAATCATAATAAAAAATTACAAATTCGAGTCGGAAATAACTTAATTCCAAAAATAATAGGGTAAATTACGAACATGTAAATTGTACACACTTAATTTGAATTTTGAATTTTGAATTTCTTTAAATAAAATAAAAATAAAAATTTGAATTATTATTTCTCCCGCTAATTTAATCATTATCTTTACTATAAAAGTGAGTGTTCTTTTAGAATTTTTATATTTAACATCAATTTCACATCACGACAAAACTAAAATTATTCTCGTGCATCGTTTATGTTGCAACAAAATTTTTAAAATAATTTAATGTGTTTGTACAAATATATATATATGAGATGATTATTGAAAAGTCCAAAGTAAGGAAGATATAAGGCATCAGGTTCCATGGATATTTTGTTAGTAAGAGGTTCACACTATGTGAAATAGTTTGGTGATAAGTCTTTTTATTGGTTTTAAAGGACGTTTTGTTGACTGATGGGAGGTTTTCAGGAGGTTCACATGGTTATGGGATACAATTTATAGGATACAATTTTCTATCATACAAAATTCAGAAAATTTTCTATCATACAATTTCACATATCACTTGTGAATTTTACAGGATTGTGCATTGTTGACTGATGGGAGGTTTTCAGGAGGTTCACATGGTTATGTTGTTGGCCACAGGTATGTTAGCTTTTAAGTACCTAGTTTCGCATCTTTTTTAGATCGTAAGATTTTTATTGTTTGTGCTTCTGTGTTTAGATTTTTCTCTCTTATTTTTTGAGTTCTTAAGAATAGTGAATTGTGAAATATTTTCAGGAAGGTGGACCAATCGGTCTCATTGAAAATGGAGATGCCATCACCATAGATATTCGGGAGAGAAGAATGGATGTTACTATTTTTTATCATATTGGGCAGATGTGACCAATCGGTCTCATTGAAAATTCAGAAAATTTTCTATCATACAAAATTCAGAAAATTGTATCCTATAGAAAGTTGTATCCTATAAATTGTATCCTATTAATGATCATAAATATATTTTATGATAGAAAATTGTATCCTATAAATTTTAAATTGTATCCTAAAAGTATTTAAATACTTTAATGATCAAATTTACTCCAGACTTGATATTATAGTAGATTGGTTAATCTGATGCTTGAGAAAAAGCACTAATGCAAAAATTGAAGAATTGCTTCTGGTTGTTCAATCATTTAACAACCAGATTCCTCTGACAAAAATGAATTTCCCAGGTAACATAAATTTAACATTGATATTTCTAGAGAAATTCATGGAAGAGAAGCTACCATGAAAATGCACAGGAATACATTGACCCAATATAAACATAAACACAAACAGGGAAGAAATGAACAGTGAAGAATGATAATAAGATGCACCTGCAATAAGATCTAAAATACTCCAGCAGTTATATCAATATAGACAAATATTAAAATTAAAATACTCCAGCAGTTAAGAACCCATTAAATCTAGCGTATATCAGAACAGAGCTGGAGCTGCTAATGTTAGATTTCAAGCTCCCTTGAAATCTAGCATATACGCTAGAAAATTTTCCCTTTAAACTCCCTCAGAACAGAGCTGGAGCATATATCAATATCATCCAGCATATATCAATATATCATCTAGCATATATCAATATCGATATCACAGACATTATTCTGAAGTTGGGATCCCAAAAATTCTCAAATACTGTACACTGAGAGAGTCACAGACGATGAGAATACAAAAGGAAGCATTATTGCACGTCAGAGGAGCATAAAAAGGCCCTACTAATGTTATTTTTTAAAATATTTTCAGACAATAAAAGGCCCAGAAAAGAGTTACATGGAAACACATTCTGCAGAATTTTCAAAAAAGCAGTGTGGGCCTGACCCATTCTGCAGAATTTTCATAGAAAAAAGACTATATCATCCAGTGGATCATCTATATCATTCAAAAGCTGATGAAGGCACACATCTATATCATTCAAATCATACAAACCCACCCGTGATCATCTATATCATACAAACCCATTTTCTGAAAAAGCTCAAAAGTATTTCTTATCCATACTTTTTCTGAAAAAACAAATGCAAATGAATCGGATATATGACAACACAAACTTCTATTATTTCCATTTGTATCACAACACAAACTTCTATTATTTCCTTCTTTTTTTTTCCCCCCGAAGGCAAATGAAACTTCTATTATGAAATGCTATCATCAAATTATGACATAGAATATATACAATATATACAATTTATCATCAAATGCTATCATCAAATGCTATAACAATATATACAATACACACCTCACTATCTGCTTCTCTCAACTCTGCAGCAGTATTGATGACAGAGGGTATGGGAAAAAAATGGTATGGGAAGATCAACTCTGCAGCAGTATTTGATGACTGATGATCGACATACATCTGCTTCATTCACATTATATAAAAAAGTGTAGGAATGGGAAGATCAACTCTGCAGCAGCCAAGCCAAGCTTCACATCTCATCAGAGAGTAGGAATGGGAAGAAGACAGAGGGTATGGGGGAGACAGAAACATGAAATGTGTTGGGCCGGGAATGCTTCTCTCCAACATTGATCTCAACCATTGTATATATATTCGGAATTGATCTAACCATTGGATCAAAACTGTATCTCACATACATTTTCGATACAATTTTTCAAAAAGCTTTTCGTGCCTTATTATATAGATATTTACTATTTATAATAGTTTACAGTTTATGATATAAATATTATTATGTTATTTTATTAATTTTTAATTTTAAATGAGAAATTGTACATTGTCGGATTTAAAACTAATTTAATTATAATTTAATATGTCCGTGGCTATATTGATATATATAATATATATCTTATTCTATAATAATTCATGTTGTGTTTTATCCCTTATTGCCGCTGAAATCCAGATACGCAACTGCAATACATTGAACCGTTCATGAAAAACCAAGTAGATGAGAAAACAAATGGACCACCCCCATCAATAATAACAACTGGTTTTCCTCCCAAACTCTGGGCTGAAATGGAATACTTTCGGTGCACACAACTCACATAAGAAGACTGTGGACGCATCAGGATCAACCTTAAACTTGTTGCCTAATATACACCCCTCTGTCACACTCATCATCTATCCAATTGGGGGGGGGGAGAAATAGTTAGTATTTTTATTTAAATTTTCACTTTTTCATTTTCTTTTAATTTAAATTTTTAAGACTTCAACTAATATTTTTGTGATTCTTCTCACTTGATTAAAACTCAAATATAAAAGAGTAAATAAATTTAAAATAGGTCGAATGGTAAAGGGATAATTTATCTTATTTATTTTATTTTTCATTTTAAACATCTTTAATTGTGCACACATAACCGCACATGATCATTTTCCCATCAATTTTTATGAACAGTGAACAAGATGCCTACATTGACAACCATTAATGTATGAACATCTAATTGTTACTTGAAAAATTTAAATTCGAAAGTAAATTTAGTAAAATTTTATACAGCAAAAAAAATTAATTTAGTTCAAACAAATACAAATACAGTCATAATCCATTAATTTTCTATGTTAATTGAGTTTTTTTTCCTATATTGCATCAAAAATCTTAAAAATTTCACAAGTTGTGTTAATTAGTAAATTGACAAGCACTACCCTATAGACTGTTATAGCAAATAGTGTTAGGCTCTACATACCCGTTCATGACTCGGATTGGAAAGGTGATATCGGTCCATGGGCTAATTTTTGAATTCTGTTTCGATATTCGAATAGTTATATTCAGGTGTAATAATTTTACAGAGCTGAAACTATAAGTTGTCATTGGATAACGACTATGTGATTTCGGATCAGTTTTTCCTCTGAAAAAATGAATAGTCGAAAAAATACATTTTAAAATATGAATGGTTCGAGTCGTTGAGACGAGAATTTTAAAATTAGAGCATTGGATCCGAATAACAACTCCGCTTCAATTCCGATTGAACGGCAAAACCCATCCCTAAAATTAATAGGCCAAATTAATACATTCTTTTTTTTTTTTTCAAAATGATTGAAGAATGCGTCTAATTTTAAATG